TTTCGCATCCTTAAGAAGAAAGATTACCACCTGCACGCCTGGTCTATTTTTTATTTCTTTATTTGACTGAGTACTGTAGGTCATTAAAGAGGAATTGCTCCCGGCTACAGAATTCCACATACATCATCCCAGCTGGGATTCGAACCCGTGACCTTCCTGTCCAGGGCCCTAAAAACTGCTCCGTGCTGCCGTCTTGGAGAAAAGAAAGTAGCAGCAGTCTCAGTGATGTTGTCATCCGCCCATTTTCGAACCGCTTCCTTGAATTTCCGGGTCACGGGGTTAGCCAGGAGTCTATCCCAGCAAGCAACAGGGCTCGAGGCAGGCTATGCCAGGATCAGGACACTAGGTCATCATAGGGCAGACGCACACTCACGCCAGGGCCAGTTCTCTCAGGAGCCAGTTAACCCACTGGCATGTGTTTGGGCAGTGGGAGGAAACCAGAGCACCAGGTGGAAACCAGCACACACCTGGGGAGAACATACAAACTCCACCCAGACAGCACCTCAGGAATTGAACCCAGGGCCCCAGCTACCTTTGTGACCCAGGGTAATTTATTTTTTGTGAAGTACCCCTGCCACTACCCCCTTAAATCCTTCATCACTTTATCCAGTATCCGTCTCTCAGTGAAGTGATATTTTTCTGTGAACACATTTTTCTGCACCCTTCCCCCAGGTACAGAAGTCCCCCGTCCCTCTGCCGTCCCTTCCCAGCGTCCTCTTTGTCTCATCCTTGGCAGCCCTGCTAGATTCCCCCTGAAAACCCCTTAGAAGTGAGGTGTTGTACCGCTAAAACATGCGGATGATATTTTTATGGCACTGCTTTGCCGAAGTGGGATGCTGAACGATATCGCTGTGCTCTTACAACTCCTGGATCTTCTCTGGATGACACTTTCTCCGGCCTCTAACCTCACGAGCTCTTTTCCCGGAGGGCTGGCTGACAGGTTCATGGCATCCTGCCCCCCAGGAGTACACAGGCCATCACACTGACCAGCCCCGGCGCCCAGAAGGAAACACACAGACCACAGCGCTGGCTGGAAGACATTGTGTTTTATTCAGAAATTAAGAAATTCAGATTAAGACATGCACACGCGAGGACAAGAAGAAATTCTGGCTTTTTTTTAGAGGGAGAACCACTCTTCTCCAGAAGCGCCGGATCACCGCAGAGAGAGCTCTTAGAAAAAAGTCCCCATCCTCCCAGTTAATCCCACCAAAGGCTCTTTCCCTTTTATTATAATTAAATTAAAATGAGCCTTCTAATTGTTACTCTCCCTGTTTGTTTGTTAGTAGATCTAATTTCCTCCTCCTGACTGATAATACCCCTTTTCACTTTGAGCTAAGCCCATCTCTGTCCGCTGTGTTGTCGTGTTCCTGGTCTGCTGTCCACTCATTTTCCGGACCGGGTGCAGAGACCTGTTGACCAGCACAAGCTTGTACCCCAGCCCCCCCAGACCCCGTTAAAATAAGGTCGTTCTGGAGATCACCAGGGCCCTGGCAGACCTGCTCCTGTTTCAGGTGTGAAGTGATTCTCGAAAGCATCACTGGGAGACTCCTGGCTCGATCCCCGTCCGAGGGGAGGCCGATGCTGAATAAGAGGGTCTGGCACCCCCAAGACTCCTAGGGGGGGGGTTTCTTGTGAAGGCCCCTGGCAGACCTGTGGGAGAAGGGAGGGCGATGTCTGTCCCTAACGGTTATACGGGTGCATCCGCGAGCTCCTTTTGCGCTTCGATTTGAGACGCAGTTTCAGCGGAGGGGGGGAAGGTTCCTCCATCTCGATGTCTCTTATGACCACCTCTTCCACCTCCATGGGCTCCTCCCTGTCCTGGGGCGGGCTCACGCGGAGTGCGCTGAAGAACACGATCACGCTGTTGGGTATTTGGTAGCACTGCATTTTGAATTCAGTCTCCTGGCTTTCTTTCTCGCTCTGTGGGGCTTCGTTCGGCTCAAGTGTGGGGGGCCTTGGGCTGAATTGTAAGGTGTCGGGGTGTTTTTCCATCGCCATGGATACTGCACCCCAGCACTCCGCCGTGTAATAGTAACTCAGGGCCAGGCCATTATGGAGTCGCCGAGTCCTCCCAGCCAATCAGAATCCTGCATTTTCAGAGATTCCGTGACATCATGTTGTGGACCCACCCATGCGTGCTGGTTGGGGGTGGGGGTGTGTGAGTGTGTTTTAAGTTGAAATTTGCCCTTTCTCAACACTCAATACTCAATTGTATGTTTTTTTTTAGGGGATTGGGGTGAAAGGTGAAGAGCTGATTTGAGGCATATTCGGTTTGAAATTCTGTTTTTCATTTAATTACCCACCACTACCCTCTTTGCCACCTCGGCTGAAGTGGTATGGCCCCAGTGATGATAATACAGTTTTATTTATGAGTGCTTTTCAAGAAGCTCACAGTACAGTACAAAAGC